CCAGCCAAGTCCCAAGCGCCTGAGGAGGTGGTGGACCCCGAGGGCTACGAGTCCGACGACTGCAGTGAGTTCCTAAGTTTCCATGGGAGTTTGGTGGGTGCTGAGGGCAAGGGTGGGTTTTAGGACTGGTCCCCCATCTTGCTGCCTGAGCTGCGTGCCCTTCCCGGCTGCCGGCCACGCTGTCCATCCCTGGGATTACATTGCAGCAGTGGCAAGCCCTCAGCTCTACCCAGGGAGGCTGCCACAGCATCGCTCCAGCGCTGCCCCTGGGTGGAGGGAGGCCCTAGGAGTGTCCCTGCTGCAGCCAGGCTGGCCGCCGAACCCAAACTAGGGAAGTCTCCCAAGAGCCACCAGTTGCTGTGCTTTGCCGTTGTGGTTGATGCGCTCCTCTGCCTCGTCCCTGCTCGGCTCCTTGCCTCAAGAGGCTGCCAGCTGGGCTCAGCCCCTGTGGTTAATCCGCCTGGGTGGTACAGCCTGCTCCAGCCACCCCGCTGATTAGCTGGCGATACGCTTCAGCATCGCCCGGCTCCAGATCAGGGAGATTTGTTCAGAATGACATCCGCCCGGAAAAAATCTCTGCCCTCTCCCTCGGCAAACTCCGGCGTGTCATTCCTCGCTCTCCAGATGCAGACAGAGCCCTGCATGAGGCCAGCGGGGGCTTCCGAACAGAAGGCTTTGGTTCTGGTAGATGCAGGTGTTTGCAGCGAGGTTTAACCCCTCCCCAGCCAAAACGTCCTTCCCACCCAGCTCAGTGGAGCTTGCAGGCTGCAAAGCAGCTGCTGTCTGGCTCTGCCGGCCACAGTGGCTGGGGTAGCGTTGCTTTCCTTGAGGTCGGTTGAAAACCACGGCTTCTTCAGCCCAGCCTTTAGGGGCCAGATCCTGCAAGGGGCTTAGAACAAAGTTTGAAGGTAGGAGATGCTGAGGAAGGGGGTCAGTGCTGCCGAGCGGTGCTGTGTGCTGGTCCTGGGGGAAGGAGAGGCTGAGCTCCCATGACGCTGAGCTGTTTACAGCCCAGCGCTGGGCAGGCGGTGGCTTTCCCTGTGCAAAATGTGTCGACCTGGCCTCAGCATCACTGTGGGGCGCTGGGCTGGCCTGTGCTGCTGCCAGCTGTGCCAGACCCTGGATTGTGACCCCAGGAAGAGCTTCCTGAAGGGCTGTGCTTGCTGCAAGGCAACACGGCCTCCCCCATGCCCCCCTCTGCCTGCTGACCACTAGCTACAGCTCTGGAGAGGCTGGAGCTCTGGGTGCAAGCCCCAAATTGATGCTCCCTCTCTCCCCACCCTAGTGTCGGGGTCATGCTCTCTTTGGAGGAAGTGAGAGCCACGGCACTCCCAGGGAGAACATCTCTGCTAAGCCGCGTTTGTCCCAGCTGGGCAGTTAGCAGTGACTTTAACTGGATTTGGGTTATTTGCTGCTCTAATTATTGCATCGCCTTTGCTCATCCTGGCAGTAGAAATGGGAGCAACTGGGCTTCAGGGCCAGAGTTGTGCGTGGGAGCCCACACTCAGGGCCCTGGGGTGCAGCGCTTTCACCCGGTGACTTGCGGGGAACTTGCCCAGGGTGCTGCTTGCTGTGTTCAGCCCCGCCGCTGGTGCTGGAAGCGGCTCGGCGCCAGGGGCCGGTGGGTGTTTGTCTCACCCCGGCTGGCGTTAGGAAGAGTGTTTCTTGCAGTGTAACAGGTGTCAGACAAACTGCTGAGGCTGTTTTGCCAGATGTGGGGAGTTTTCTTCTGGTGAAGGCACAGCGGTGCCAGCAGCAGAGCGGGGAGGTGGGACTGCTGGTGTCACATCTCTGGAGACAGCACGGGATGGTCTCAGCCACTCTCAGGGCACTGGTTGGCATAAATGTGCAGGATGAGGCTGTCACTCCTCCATATTTAGCAGCCAAGTCGTGAAGCCAGACGAGGGCTCACTGGCCCCATTTCCCAGGCGGGGAGTTGGGAGGGGATTTGTGCAGCCTGACTTGAGCCATTGGCTATGCTGAGGAGCGTCTTTCAGCTCCCCTGCATCCTCCATGGGTGATTCAGGGCTGCTGCATTAGTCACCTGCACTAAATTTCCTCTGGGGAACCTCTGTCTGCCTGTACAGCAGGACAGCATCGGCATTAGGTGGTGTCAGTTCTCCCTGGTGACGTGGGGGGATTGGGGAGTTGACCAAGGTCTCTGAGGGCAGTGGTGTCGGAGCCTGGATGCAGCACCCATGAGTTGAGGGCTTGCTGGGCAGGGCCACATCTTGCCATGCTCCCCAGACATGCTCCCAGCACAGCTCCTGGAGAGGTGCAGGGAGAGGGACTTTTCTGTGGCAGGATCCATCTGCAGGAGGAGGGGATGGCTCCTTTCTGTCTGTCCCACCTGCCTGCAGGTTTTCCTTCTCCAACACTGAAGCAGTGTGTGAGAGGAGTAGAGCTGCCCCTGCCTGGAGAAATGCAGCATTGGTCTGGGTTTCCCCTGCTCTCCTTCCTGCCCGGGGTTACCTCTCCAGCCTGGTGTTTCTGGGTTTCCAGCAGCCTGATGGGTGATGGGGCCGCATTGCCCAGTCACCACAGCGCTGCGGGGTGGCAGGGGCTGGAGCGGAGCTGCCAGCTCACCAGGGCTGGCTCCCAGCACCGTGTTTCTTAATCCTGTGCCGAGTGGTGTTCTTGACCTCATCAGCAATCCTGGGAGGTGCCTGTGGAGCTGGCAGGAGTTCCCCTCCTGCAGACAGCCTCTCCCTGGGACGCGGGCAGCCCCAGAGCAGGGCAGCCCTGGGAGAACCCTCAGTGTCTGCTCCCATCTGAGCAGGGCAGCCTGACCCAGCAGTTTGGCATCCACAGGGATGTGTGTGTGTGTGTGTGTGTGTGTGTGTGCGTGCGTGTGTTTGGTGCTTTGGAAAACCAAGAATCCCAGGGCTGCAGGAGGCAGGTGGGGCCCTCCAGAGATGGGCAAGGACCTGACTGAGGTGTGGTGCGGTGGGAGGGGACCCACTGACCCGGGTGTTTGCCACAGGCAGCACCAGTCATTAGGAGGCTGATGCAGAGGTTTGGGGTGATGGCTCTGGGGCACATGGGGCTGAGGCCATGGGTTTGGGGCACCGCAATGCAGCCCTGAGGAGCCAGGGAGCACAGCACTCAGGGGAGCTGCAGAGGTGCTGAGGAAAACACGTGTGGTTTCCACAGGGCGGCTGTAGGCAGCCTGGTGAATGCAGCAGGGCTGGGGAGCTGACAGAGTACATAATGAGCGGAGATGTTGGGGCTGGCTCTGGGAGCACTGGGAATTGCATGGAGCCAGCCCTTCCCATCAGACCCACCAGCAGTGCTGCTGTGAGGATTTGCAGGGTCGTGATTGGCACCCTCTGCCATCCCAGGGCGCTTGGGAGACCCTTGGGAGAGGGACTTGTCACTGCCCTGTGCCTCCCCCATCCCCACTCTGCAAGGATGCTCCAGGACCAGAGCCCAGGCTGTGCAGAGCAGGACTCTTCCAGCAGCAGGCTTGTCCTAAACGGAGCTGCTGAGGATGAGAAATGAGAGGTGGGGAAGCGCATGTTTGGTGCAACCCTGCAGAAGGGTGGTTTGTTGCACTTGGCCCAACGCTAGTGTCTGCTGTGAGCTGAAAGAACCAGCAGAGATTTGGGGGTGGAAAGGGGGGGATTCACTTCTACTGCCTCGGGACACCCCGCTCTCACCTCAGCTTTGGTTCCCCTCGCTGGGGGCCGGTGACAGCAGCAGTGCCCTGGCCCCCACGGTCCCCAGCATCTTCCTGAGTCGGGTGGCACTGCCAGGCAAACCTTGTTCCCAAGGAAGATAAGCAAATGCCAGCTAGGTGGCAATGTGCCACCTGCAAGGCGCTGGGACTCGCCTCCTGTATCCCCTCATTCCAAGCAAATCGCTGCCCCTCGAGTGGCTGTGCTTTCCCCTCCACAGCACCAGCGTGAATTGGTACCTGAACAGATTTTTAAAGGTTTCTGAAATCTCCGCGTGAGCAGCGTGGGGGTAGAAACCTGGTCCCTGTGAGGGAGCGCTGCGATGGCTGCTGTCGCCGGAGACAGCGCTGGATGAGTGGCCATCCCTCCTCTGTAACGTGCAGGCAAGTTTCTAGCCCTTGAGGAAACACTCCATTCCTCTGAGCCGCTCTTTGACTTTGGAGCAAGGCTGCGGCCAGCGCTGGAATTTCCTCTGTGTGGGTTTGGCTCGGGGTTTTTGGATGGGGAGGCAGCCCAAGAACAGGGGGTTGCAGTGGGAGTTGGTATTTCTGGGAGAGCTGCCCCATGCTGTTCCTGCCAGTGCTTGGGGCTGTTTATGTATGTACAAAACCAGCCAATTTTATAGCATGCCCAGCTTTATTCATGGGAGGAGCAGGCTCGCGAGCTCCCGAGCTGCTGCAGCAGCATAAAAACAACTTCTCCAAACTACAGCTGAGGCCTGTCCTGGTGCAGGGCTGCTTGTGACGCCTGCTGCAAACGGCACCACAGAAGTTATTTAGGAAGGCTCTTATTTTGAGCAAAGAAGATAATTAGGCAGGCAAAGCCATCACGCAGATATTAATTACTGGCTGCTCTAAATATGTAAAGAAGAATGAAGGTCTTATGGGGTGTGGGGTTTGTAAGTCACCTGGCAGTGCTTTCGGCCAGACAGGAGGAGGCAGGGGAGACGATGAGGGGAAATGTGCATTGAAACGATAGGGATATTTACTTCTGAAATGCAGCTCCTTAGCATATGCTGCTACTGCTATTTATAACCTTTGAATCGTCTTTTCAATCCAGATAAGGCCAAAAGAAGTATTTTTTTTGTGCAGGAAGCTAAACAAACCACTGCTGATTTTGGCAGAGCCTGGAGCATGGTTTTGCCAACCATACCACAACCCAAGCTGACTACACCAAAGAAATGTGTAGAGGTACCAGTTGATGTCAGACCTGAGTTTTGAGGGCATTGGGGAGCTTGCAGCCCTCCCAAGGGAGTTTTAGGGTGTTAACCAAGGTGGATTAGCTCCCGTTTGGTTTCCTGCAAGATACTGGGTATCAGGAGGGCACTGGTTTTGGGGGGGAGCTCTTGCCCTCTCCTGCTGGCCGCCCCACTACTGCTCTGGGTAGA